AGGCCCACGTTTTCCCTAGTCTTTCTTCTGTCTCCAGCATCCGTATAGAAGCTTTCCATGTTGCCCTTGATGTCCCTGGCCAGATTTAATTCTAGCAGGGCTTTAGCTTTCCTATCCTGATCCCTGGCTGCTCAGACAATTTCTCGGTATTCCTCCCAGGCTCCCTGTCCTTGCTTCCACCCTCTGTAGGCTTCCTTTCTGTGTTGGAGTTTGTCCGGGAGCTCCTTGTTCATCCACGCAGGCCTCCTGGTGGTTTTGCCCGACTTCCTCTTGCTTGGGATGCCTTACTCCTGAGCTTGGAGGAGGCGATCCTTGAATATCAGCCAGCTTTCTTGGGCCTCTCTTCCCTCCAGGGCTTTATCCCATGGAACTCTTCCAAGCAGCTCCCTGAAGAGGCCCGAGTCTGCTCTCCTGAAGTCCAGGGCAGGGAGGGGAGCTTGCTGTGCGCCCTCCTCGCTGCCCTAAGGATCCTGAACTCCACCATTTCATGGTCACTGCAGCCAAGGCTGCCCTTGAGCTTCACATTCCCCACAAGGGCCTCCTTGGTGGTGAGAACAAGTCCCAACACGGCACCTCTCCTGGCTGGCTCCTCTGTCACTTGGAGAAGGGAGTTCTCATCAACACATTCAAGGAACCTCCTGGATTGCTTCTGTCCTGCTGTGTTGTCCCTCCAACTGACATCGGGGTGGTTGAAGTCCCCCATGAGGATCAGGGCTTGTGAATGTGAGGCTTCTCTAATCCATGAGCCTTAGTTAGCTCCTATCTTAGTTAGCTCCTATCTGTTAGCTCAGTCTTACTGGTTGAGTGACCTGTAGCAGACCCCCACCATAATGTCGGCTATCCCTGCCCTCCCTTTAATCCTGACTGATAGGCTCGTTCAGCTCCTCACCCATCCCCAGGCGGATATCCGTGCCCTCCTGCTGGTCCTTGACATAGAGGGCAACATCCCCTTCTCGTCTCCCCTGCCTGTCCTTCCCAAAGAGCCAGTATCCTTGCATTCCAACATTCCGCACAAAGGAGCCACCCCACCACATCTCTGTGATGCCAATAAGGTCATAGCCCTCTATATAGCTCCTAGTTCTGAAATCGGCAGGTATACAGAGCATGAGAGAAAAATTTGCTAATGTTTTCATTCTTGCTGTCTAGCAATTTCTTATTTCTGTTCTTGACACATAAAATAATTGTGAAATAACTGAGATTTATGAAGAAAGGGGTAGTGCAATATAGTCTGGAAGAAATGAGTATCACATTTGTCCGGGGATAATTCTGGAAAACTAATAGATCTCATATCAAGCTGATATACTTAGAAGCATTTTCATTTAGATTTCCTTTTAGATAACAAATTAGCTGGAGGTTGTTAAAGCATGATGGTTTCCTTTAGTGCCAGGAACTGAGGAAACTAATCCAGGAACTGGTTGGTGCTCTGCAGTCTTACAGAGTGACTTGGGTTGCTTTCTTCTGCAGAAGCAGAGAACAGGTCATTGACCAGAGCAAGGAGCAGATGACCCCACTCTTAGGTACTGTAAGTTCTTAGGCTACAGAGGAACCAATGATTTATAATGTGAACTGTAAATAATAATTTTACTGAAGTGGTTTTGTTGAATGAATGCTCTTTTGTGTTTGGCCATCAAAGTCTTGGAACCTGGAATTATAATAAGTCACCTAAAAGTTTTAGGGCAGGATAAGTATTTTGGACTATTCCTGATGCTTTGTGTCATCGTGCTCTTTCTTTTGTTCCTGGGTCTTTTGGATCTCATGGAACAAGTTTCTAAAAGTAATCCCTAACATTTCACAAATTGCTTTGACTAATTTCTGGGCTGTTCAGGGTGAATTTCGTTAGACGCTGTTGTCCTGGATGCCTATAACTTTTCAGAGTTGTCTAAAACCTGTTCTAACATCTGTGTCTGTCTTTTCTACCATTTTCAAGTGAAAACACAGAATATACTGACTATCGATGTCACCTATTGCTTGCTTTCTTCTCCTGTTACATTGTGGCTGTATCTCTTGTCTCCTGTTTACTCCTAATACATGTGTAGGATTATTTTTTTTTGTGCCTGTAAGCTGGAACCCATTTTTTACCTTAGCCTTTTTTAACTTACTACTTCATATTTATACTATTTTGTCATGCTAATAGTATGCTATTTTTTTTCTGCATCTGCTTTTGTGCCTTTAATTGGTTATCTTGTCAGGTTTTGTGTCATTCCTTTACCTCTTTGCCTCTCAGTTTCTTGAGATCACAGAAACTTTCTAGACCTGCTCTGATTTCCTCAGAGGAAGTTCTAACACTCTTTTCACTTCTGTCCAAATTGTCTCTGTTATTAAGGACTCAGTCCTCCCAGTTGATCAGAAACAAAATAATAACTTTTCTTCGCTTCCTGAAAAAAAACATGACTCTGACTATGTCTGGGGATTTTAAAACTAATGACCTGGCTATCTGTTGAAAGAGCAATGCATCAGGATGGAGTCATCCCTTTATAGTCCTATCACCTGCCTTTACCAGCCAGCCCTCTCCCTGCAGGTGCTCAGCAATACACTCTACCTTTTTTTTCTCTTTTGTTTGAATGTCTTGACATGCCTTCCATTTTCCTTCTCTTTGATTTCCACACTACATGTTCAACAAGTCTGAACTTTGGAATGAGGCAGAGTCCATCACATGTATTGCACTTTTGGAACAGGTTTAACCTTTTAAAGGAGCATTCCTGTCTCTTTGATGTCACTGCATGTCTACAGTGCCAGATATGATGCCAAATCTAATATGGGACATGTAGAAAGACTTGTATTCTTCATTTTTTAAAAAACACAGCAGGTGCAATGTGATCAAAGATCCATACTGTCTGTACGGTAGCTTGTCTAAGGGAAGAATAACAGATGCCTAAAGGCAGAATAGATCAAGTAGGTGGTAATGCTTCCCTAATAGACTTTTCCAGCTTCCCATAAAAAAGTCCATGACTTATTTATTATGTAATTGTAGCTTATATTCGTGGCTGTTTGGTATGTAACCCATTATTCTTCCTTACTGTTTTTCTTATAACAATTACAGTTTCCATTCTAATCTCATGGTGGTTGATTCACTTTTTTTTTTAAGAACTTTTTTGATTTTATGTTTTCATTAGTCCTCCTTTAGCTGATAGATTAGTAGTTTCTTCCTAGTTGATTCAGAAACAAAAGAAAATCCTGTTAGGAAATATATTTTGCTTTCTGTGGTGATGAGAAACTAACACCAACTGGTTTTGGTTTTTTTAAAGCCTCTTGAAAAAAAGACAACTGTAGAGTTGCACGGTTCCTGCCAAGTTTCCACAAGAAGCAGGTTATTATTAGGGAACTGTAAACTGTTGAAAAAAAACATTTGTAATGGAAACAGTGATGGTTTAACTGTAATGCTTGTGGACACTTTCAAACAGCATAGCTTTTCCACCTCCTGACTCTCAAACCTCCCAAGTACAAGTTCCTTACTGCACATTGCTTTAGTCATCAATGTATACATACACATATATATATGTATAGTGGCTTCAGCAACACTGTTGTTCATACTACAAATATGTTGCTCAGGGTGGTTCAACAGAGTGTTGTTTCTAGGCTGATACACAAAACAAACGTAAACCTAAATCTGTGGCTTCCTTTTTGGTTTTGGTGGCGTACACTTCTCAGTGGCATCCAAGTTATGACTGGTGTAGAACACAGTTAACAAAAAACTACATCATTTTCACTAGAGGAGCAATAAAAACATCTTGATTTAAGTGAATGGTTGTACATATAAATAGACAGAATTTGAAATCTGTCCAACTTTATAAATCACTTGAATGTTTTCACGTCCCACATCTACGCTGTTTCCTGTCATTTTCTTGCATCAGTCATTTTTCCATGTTTCCTTTCTCTCCTCAGTTGTGGGAAAAAGGAGGGAACAAGCAAGCTGTCAGAGAGTATGAATGAAGAGAGGTGATCAGCTTTCTGTAGTTTGTTCCTGCATAGAAACGAGTTTTAGATAGGAGTATGGGCCTTTAATCTTAGTACTAGTCCCCAGCTGCAGGCATTCTGTGGGGTTTGGTGCTCACTTCGAGTTGTTGAACACCATCATCTGTGCAAGCTCAAGTGAGCAATCATTTCCCCAGCTTTTTAATCATTAACTTTGCAACAGCTTTGATTTCTTAAAAATGACACTACTGAAAAATCTTTGTCGCCTGTATTAAGTAAATGCCTTCTGAATGCCTATGCTTTGCAGTACTAGGAACTGTTGTCATGTAACATGTCTTGTTTTCAGTAACTGTTTCTAAATCTTGGTTTCTTAGGAATACATGTAAGAGTTTACTTCTGTATATGTTGCACAACATGCATCTAAAATTCTTGTGTTTCTTGTTTCAGAAGTACTATGGAACCACTGCAGCCCTGTAGATTTGGGAGGCTTAAATCCAAATTTGGAAAGGCTTTTTCCGTTCCAGATGATTTGCTGGCTTAAGCGCTTAATTAGGATGGCTTTTGAACAAGTTGGATTAAACATGGAATCAGTAAGTGTTTCAAACTTTCTTCATGTTTGATTTTAGAAAATCAGATATAGAAAGCACTTCATAGATTTTAGTTTGTGCTTATCTATTCCAGCAGAACGCTTTAAATATACTCAATACTTGTATGATTCTGAGTTGCTGAAGAAATATGAAGTTTACTAGTTGGACACTGAAGTATTGAGTAATATATGTGTTAAAAATACCATGCAGTTCCTTCTAGATCTAATAACTATTTACTTTGTAAACAGTGCTTTTCATGTTGGACTTCTATGTTTGTTTTGAAGCTGAAGGAAATTTTCAACTGGTTTTTAACAGTTATGTTAATTCTTAAATAATCTTATTTCTTTGCTCTTACCTTGGAGATATGAAAAGTGCCCTGAAACTGAGATGATGATAATTGTGCTATATTTAGTTCTGGAAGTGTTACAGTACATGAGAGCAGCACAGCTGTGTTCTTTACTGGGGAAACAGAGGAATGTGCATGCATAGCTCTCCTCTTGGAGGAAAGTGTATATAGAGTTTTCTTTGAATGCTTAGCAGAGAGAGAGAGATCTCCTACACATCAACTGCTTTGTCACTGGGACCTTTAGGAAACTATTTTGAGTACGAGTACTGACCTCAATGCAGTAATCCCTATAAGTTGTCAAAATATTTTAACGTTTTAACAGTGGGGAAATCCTTAACAGCTATGTGCAGTACTTAGAAGTGCAGTTCTTACTCTGGATTATTGTAGTAGAAACCTTTTATCAATCTTGGAAATCTAGGGAGAGCAAAATGTTTATACATTGTAAATTAAAATTACCGATAAGAATCTGTATTTTAGGATTTTATTCAAACTTTGATCTGAGATTTCATGTAGTTGTAACTTTGAAAATTCAAAGTGTGAGAGTATGCTCGACTACCGTGGGTGTTGCTGTGGTCATTGTGAGTGACATCTTTCAGTCTAAATTAGGAGGGGGGACAATTTTTAATCTATTTCCCCCCATTCTCTACTTGTATCAAGCTTGTGATAGTGCAATTATATTTCCAGAAGTTCAGGACAACAGCAAAACACTGATGCAATAAGAAGGTATTACTAAGTAATATTTTGCAGACTTGCTCTGCCAGTGCTTCAAGTCAACAAGTTGTGTGAACTTGAGTAGAGCAGTGCTGAGACTTATTGGCTCGCTGAGCAGTGTGCTGACTTTATTTACATAGCTTGTGGCACAGCTTGCATGCAGTTTTCTGAAAATATTGGCCTGGCATATCTTGAATTACCAAAACTGAGTCATTAAAAGTTTTGGTGCGCCAGACCACTGTTGTTGAACAACCCTGACGGCATTTGGGCACCAAATATTTGTGAGGATCTGGGTGCTAGTCAACATCTTGTCTGTGGTCTGAGCAATCTAAGCAAGTTTTGCCACTTCTTTAAAATGCACTGCACTTACATTGGGAATACAGCATGTGGTCTAGGCTCTTTTGCTGTTGTGGAAGTACTTTCGTAATTAATTAAGCCTTCCCTTGACTAGTATTATTTTTTCCAATGCAACATCGCTTTGAGGCTATTGCCAACAGTTTTGCTTCTAACATCAGAATCTGTTGTGAATAGTGAGGCTGTATTACTGCAGTACCGTTTGTCAGTGACTTTTTCTTGAAAGCTACTGATCTACTTGCTGTTTGCTCCGACAAACAGTATTGTGATAGTCACAAAAGTGAGGTCTTTGAGGCATCCAAAATGCAGAATCAGTAGAGTACTCTGCATTGAAAAAAATGGTGTTCAAGTTTGGCAGCATATTAAGCAAGAGAATGTATGTTTCATAGAACGGAGAAAATGGGTCTGAGTGGATTAATGGCAAAGCTGCAGCTCTGATGTGAGGATCTAGCATAGCATATGTGCAGTGCACTTTTATTTTGTCCAAATTTATACATTCCAGTAAAGCCAGAGGCAGGAAAGGTACTTGTTTAGAAATAGGCAAAATGTTTGTGTGAAGTTTCTGAGATAACATAATCTGGGGATAAATACCATGGAGCATAAATTTTTCTTTTTAATAGAACCTCCAAAGTCTTAGTGATCTTTGCTTAGTATATCAAAATATTATTCAGCTGTGTGTTGTGAAACTCCCACAACTGAACTGCACTAATCAGCAGGCAATATTGCCATGCCTGGTGAGGGTTGTTTCAATATTAATAGCCTGGATTTTATCTAAGTTTTCTTTGTGGGTCAACCTTCTAACAGGATGTTGAGTTTGCTTGAAGCTATGGGCCTTTAAAAACTGAGGTCTGAGTGGTAAATTCATATCTACAGCCATAAGTAAACACTGGCCAAGTTCTTAAAATTACCATACAGTATTCTAATTGTTCACTAACAACATACTCTGTGTTAGAGTCTTCCCATTATTCTTTTTGTTCTTTGCATTGTTTTTGTTGCCTTTCCCTGTGCTGAAATCTCTCCTGCTTCCCTCTGGGTTGTGTTTTTTTGTTTGTTTCTGTTCTTGCTCATTTTGTAGTATTCTCCTAGGATTAAAGTCTCATTTTATTTCATACAAATATGGTAAATAGTAGAGCAAACATTCCTGTCATTAACTACAACAAAAGAGAGCAAATTCAATCCCTGTTGAAACAACGTAGAGGAAATTTGAATTGCAGTAGAAACAGTTCTGATGAAGCCAGGTCTGTTGAGATGCTGTGGGCAATTTTCTCTAGGTGAATGTATATTTTTTTAGGGCAAAGTTTCATTCTTATGTATTTATTTTCCCTGTTTTACTTTTCTTTGCTCTTTAATTTCGCAGTTACATTTTTGTGCTTATGCTAGCTGATAGTTATTTTTATTGAGACTGATAGACACTATTCCCATGTTAGAAGAGCTCTTAATTGAAAAAGATATTTTGGGAAATGTAGAATTCATGATTGAGTGGTTTTTCTTGAAACCCCTTAAAAAGAGGTGCCTGATCCAATGAAGATTCTTTATTGTCTTGAAAATGGATAAATTATGCTTTTGAAGATGCTTCCAATCCTTCTGTGTTACCTGATGCATTGCTTTGAATTTAAACTCAGTGCAAAGGCTATCTTGAACTGAAACAGCCATAGCTATCTTGTAATGACAAAAACAATTTTTGTGCCAATTCAGGTATAGAAAGATACAAATTCCAGTCCGTATATATTCTATTCTATTCTAGCAGGAACGGAATAACTTTAAATACGTTTAGCACAAGCATAGTGTGGAAGGCTAAGAGAAAACTGTTCCAATATGATGTAAAAATCAGTTACCTAACAGTCTGGCTTCTTTTTCTTTTTCCTTCCCGTCTAGGTGCTTTGGTCAAGCAAGCCTTATGGTTCATCTCGAAGTATTGTAAGAAAAATTGGTACTAACCTCTCTCTTATACAGTGTCCAAGAGTTCAGTTTCAGGTAGGTGTTCTCAACAGTTTAGAATATGTGTTTCATTATACTGATAAAGGGATTTGCTCTTGCATCAAAAGATTTTAAGCAAATAGGCAGTTCGTTTAAATAAATGACTAGAGGGTTTATAAAAGCAGAATATGATGAACCAGGCATATAGGAGAATTAGCTTATCTCAGTTCTTCCCACTTCCAGTTCAGATTTTTTCCAAATATGGATTCTTCAGCTTCTGTACTGCCTAAAACCTGAATCTGTCTTGCTGTAGCACACATAGTGAAACTTGAAACTAATTTTTTTCCTAAGAAAATTGGAACTTCTAAAATAAGGCAATACAGTATTAAAAAGTTACTTTCAGGAAAAAATATATTTATAGAAGAGAAAAATGTTTGAAACTTACTCCTATAAACAGTACTTAGAAGCTAGGCTTAAGAGGCATGTGAATATGAACAATGCTACTTAGAATATTTGGGACAATAAACAACTTTATCAGAAAGTAAAAAAATTAGTAACAAGATAACATGAGTACCGTGTTTGCTTTTGTTTGCAAGGCTAGCACTGTACAGGTGAAAGGGGAACAGCAATTTTGTGCAGCTTTCTGATTTGTTTGCTTTTAACTTCAACTGCGTATCGTGGGAGGGCAAAGAGTGAGGGTAGGAGCTTAAGGAGGAGAAAACTCTTGCTTTTTATAACAAGTCTTTCAGGAACAGATGGGAAAATGGAAGCTGTTACACATAATCACTTCGACTTTGTGTGTGTTAGGGCTAGGGAGCGGATATAGAATTGGAGAAATTTAGTGTTTGAAACTCAAGCTGAGAGGAACATTTCCTGGGCCAAGCAAGGTTGGGGAACATAAAGATGAATGGTGAGAATCATCACCCACACTAAGACAAGGTAATTTCCCCACAGATAAATTTTTCACTGTTTAAATTAATTTCTTTATCCTATATGAAATGTACGAACAATATTTGGACTTGAAATTATAGCATAGTTCAGATTACTATAGAAGACTTTTTGGTGTGATAGTAAAAGCCCTACAAACATTTTGCCTCTTAAATAATTACATTGAGAAACTAAGGGGGCAACCATCTCCCACTACTAGTGGCTTGGTAGAAGTTACAAAATAAATATATACACCGTGGGGGTGAGGATTTGTGCAGGTGAGAAGGACAACAAAACGACATGCAATAAGGCTCCTTGTGCCTCAGATTTGAAAGAAAGTGAAGTCGTCCTATAATGTTTCTGATTTTCTGTACTGTAAAGGCTATACAAGGGAAGATGATGCTCATTTGTAGATAGTTAGCCAAATACTGCTTTCACTTAATATGATACATAAAAGAAAACATTTCTGTTTTATATTCTTGCAAAGAGCTGTAAGATACATCTGGGGAATCTGTTCCTGAATATTTTTAGTGTTGAAATGAAAGTATGTATATGTCTTCCTCTGAATTCTGAGTTAGAATAAATAAAATATTTGCCTTTTTTCCTCTTAAAGAGACATTCAGTCAGCTTTGCATAGATTTTATGCGCACTAAGTATAAACAGTCATCTTCTATTAGATGAAAGGATCCTGAAAATAGAAGTACGATTGTCAGAGCTGATTGAATTAAAAATACGAATTTCAAAATTTGAGCCTTGAAACATATTAAAATTTATATGGTTTATGCAGGATTAAACTATTTTAATATATAAACTGCTGAACGTGTAAAAGTGTGATGCTAACATCTGTTTTTTATGTCTTTATCTCAGCGTTAAGATTCTATAGCGAAGTTCAATACTGGTCTCGATTATTTTTACGCTGTTGCAACTGACACTTTCCTATAGCTGTCTCTTCCTCTTTCTTTCTTGCCAGCTTTAGCTATATTATGAAAGGACCATGCACTGAACGTTGCTGTAAGTCACTTTATTTAAACACCAAAGCAAACCTTACTTGCCTCATCTGAGGGTGCATGTGTATAATCAGTGTTTCTAACTTTACCTAAGAGCAACAAACTTTCCACAAGTCTTCACTTTTCTTATAATAAATGGATAAGAGATATTGAAAGAATATCTCTGTTGTGTTCATTCTTTTTTCTCTTCTAGCATGCTTTTGTTCAGCTAGTCTGAAAAAAAGAATAGCAGCCTAACATTTTGATTTTTGAGATCTACTGACTGTTGTAGTATCTGTCTCTATGGATCTTGCCCTAGTCAACATTTAAATTAATTGCTAAATGGTGCTTATGTATTCAGTAAGCGGTAGCAGAGCTTACCTTATATACTCTATATGGCATGAACAAATGAAAATGGTTCTCATAATTCTTTTGTATGTCATATTTTTTAGGTTTGTCTGTAGTCTTCAGGAAAAGATAAACTTACCAGTATAGCCTTGGTAGATTCAACCAAACGTAGAATACTGTCTCTCAAGATAGTATCCTTCAGCTACAGCATCTCTGTTCTAGTCCTATGCTTCTCCTGTTTGTCTGATGGAAACCTGATAACTCAAATAGAAATCTAAGGAATTGGTGTGCATGTCGCAAACATTAGAATGTACTGGACTAATTTGAAAAATCGTAGCAAGTGTGTCCTACTTGACGAAGTATTTCCAAATGTTTAATATCTAATTGTATTAGTAACTGGAAATTAGTGGTTTTATTCTGTCCTTAAATGTATGAAAATATTTGTTTTACTTTCCACTTCCTGGAGCAAACAAAAAGTAGGGATCCTGCTTTGACAGCCTCCTAAGCAGCGTTTCCATAGTGTAGTGATTATCAGGTTTGCCTAACACGCGAAATGTCACCGCTTTGAAACTGGGCAGAAACAATTGGCGAGGCTGACTCTTTGGGAGTTGGACTTGATGATTCTTTTTATGGATCCCTTCCAACTTGAGATATTCTATAATTCTATGACATCAGCCAAAACAGTACAGTGTGTGTAGTCTTTTCTTTAGAAATTTGTGGAGTAAAGGGTCTGAAACCAACAGGTGTGTGTGTGCAGCATACATGCACACTAAAAAAGGCAAAAAAGGCTGTGAAGGAAGCATCAGGGGAAGCAACTACATAGTTTCCAGAGAAGGAAAAGCAGGCTGCTTTCACCGTTTCATTCAGTAGAATTTGGCCTCTGTTTTCAGCTCTGTGTTCTCCATTTCAGGTGCTGGCAGAGCAGTTGTCCAAGTTTTCTTCAGCTGAGATTGGCTGGAGGAATAGGGCAGTCACAGAGTTGTTTAAGCATCATTCTACAGACAGGCGAAGGTTTTAAGAGATGAGTGTTGGCTTTTAACCTTTAAATTAAAGTAAAAATCTTGCATTAACTTGAAATTCGAAATCCATTGCTGTGGAAGGCCTTACTGTTTTTAGGGATAGAGAAAAGCAACATCTGTATATGGGGTAACAAGCAGATTCTGTTTACCTGTAAATACAAATAAAAAAGTAAGAAGAAACTTGCATCACAATATAACAGAAGGCTTGCTACTAAATGTTGGATTAGAAGTTATTTATCTCACAGTACAAGAAACCTGGCAGTGGTAAATGCATTCCTTACTGTTGATTTATAAAATTATTTTTGATGCATGTTTAGTGCCTTTATTTAAATGTGGCTTCAACCTTTTCCTGATAATAGTTGCTCATGTGGCCGTCACTGTCAGGAAAATCTGTATCACCTGCAAAAAGTGGCTAATGTATTATGGATGTTTTTAAATTGCCGTTAACATTAATACAGATGCTGAAGTAAAGAAAATCTTTTTATTTTAAAAAAGAAAAAAGCCAAGGAAACCTCAAACAATGAAAATCCTAACATGCGACATAGAATTCTCTAGACTGTTTTAAAGAGAGGCAGACTGTGATGGTATTAGGCACAACTGTTAATGTGATAAACATATTACCATCTGTGCTGATGCTACCTGGAAAAAACCCTGTTGTTTCCAAATGATCTGATAGTGCCAATACACACTCCTGGGAGCTGCGATTAAGACTCACATACAAGTTGCGAGAGCGTAAGGTGAAGATGACTAATCTTGATTTCCAAAGCTGTTTGTAACAACTCCTGGGGAAAAACAACCCCAAACTCACAACTTAGATCTTCCTGGGACTTGTGTATCAAAGGCTACAACTAAAATATCTGTGGATGTTCTTCAGAAATGGTTTCACTTCATGCAGACTGCAGTCCTACTGTGATAGGTCTGCTACAAATTCAGGTTAATGCTAACGTTTCATAGTTGCTGGTATGTAATAGTTTCCTCTTACAGAGGTGAGTTGCCTTGAAAATTGACCTGTGCTAACATCCAGGCTGTCTTCACAGACTATCACACACCACCACCGTCTTTGATGTTATTAATAGCTTCTTGGCTGCTGCCAGCAGCAGGCAGCACTTCAACAGCTACAACGATTCATGTGCAGATTTGACCTGTGGATTGTACGTAATACGAGCAAAAGAGGTAGTGTAGTTGCATTGGAGAGAAGTAACTCAAGGTGACAGACTGAGCAGAAGAAGTTACTCAAAGACGTTTCAGTAGGTTTTATCTGCTAAGATACTGAGCCCAGGCTACCCAGGTAGTGACCTTGTTTATCCCAGGGAAGCAGCCAGTATTTCAAAGTAGATTTGAAACCATTTTGTATAGTTGTGGCTATGGAGCATGTATTGATGGTCCAAACAAGTTTTCAAATCTCCATTCAGGTCACTTAACTGTAAATCTAAGAAAGGTTTCAGTCTCTGGAGCCTTGCTCACCTTTGGCTTCAAACAGCTATAAAGCTAATGGCAGAACCATGCTGGAAAATGGTCAGTTTATTTGGCATGCTGTAAATAAAATTGTTAGCAAATAGTGTATTCTGTTATGATTGCATCCTACCTCTCATTCAAAGTCTTTGTGATTACTGAGCTAGTAGAAATGGCTTTTTGCTTTTCTTGTTTTTCTTTCCTCCTGTGTCATGTACACACCTTTATTCTTGTATAGAAATTTGGAAGTTGTAGGGGGAAGGGAAACACACTTCCAACAGAATTTGGCTTTCAAAATAACACTAAATCAGAGCAAAAAACTTAAAAAGTACTGGTAGCCTTAATGTCTTTTTTAACTACTAGTCGTGAATATAATTTAAAAACATATTATTTGAGTTAATACAGCAAACTACTTGAGAATGTTGATGTTTGTTTGTCTTTAAGGTAACAATTTGCATTGGGTTTTTAGTGTTCAATAATGTCACATGGTAGTATATGTAGTTAGCCGTGAACCTCTGTAAAGTGTTCAGCAG